CAGGTCTTTCTCCGCAGAGCTGCTCTGGAAAGTAAATGGAGTGGGATCTTTGCTTACCTCTTATCTGATGTAACTGAGTGTTAAAATAAGCTGAGTGTGTCTCATTAGGTCAAGGAAAGAGCATATAGATATGATTATGTAAACTAGTCTATAGGTTGCTACCCTGAGGGAATCTATCCCAGATTCTTATTTTCCTTTCAAACTGTTCTTAATTTATTTCTAAAATCATTAAAAACGAAAGTTTACTTGCTTTTGGGAGATGACTACCAAGAAAAGGATGAATGATAGAGATAGTAGAGAGGAATAAGCACAATTCAAATTTTAGAATGGGCTGTAGGAAAGCCAATGTCATGCCAGCCTTCAAAAAAGGCAAGAAGGAGGACCCAGGCAACTACGGGCCAGTCAGCCTCACCTCCGTCCCCAGAAAAGTGATGGAACGGCTCATACTGGATGTTGTCCCCAGGCATGCGGAGCTCAAGAGTAGTCAGCATGGATTCACCAAAGGGAAATCATGCTTGACTAACCTGATAGCCTTCTTCGATGGAAAGACCAGCTTAGATGAGGGGAGAGCAGTAGATGTCATCTATCCTGACTTCACCAAGGCTTTTGGCACCGTCCCTCACAACATCCTCCTGGGCAAGCTCCGAAAGTGTGGGACAGATGAGTGGACAGCGAGGTGGATTAGGAACTGTCTGGATGGTAGAGCCCAGAGGGTGGTGATCAGCAGTGCAGAGTCTAGTTGGAGGCCTGTAGCTAGCGGGGTCCCCCAGGGGTCAGTCCTCGGTCCAGTCCTGTTCAATTTATTCATTAATGACCTGGATGAAGGCACAGAGTGCTCCCTCAGCAAGTTTGCTGATGATACCAAACTGGGAGGAGTAGCTGATACCCCAGAGGGCTGTGCTGCCATCCAGAGGGACCTGGACAGACTGGACAACTGGGCGGTGAAAAACCTCATGCAATTCAACAAGGCCAAGTGCAAGGTCCTGCACCTGGGGAGGAATAACCCCAGACACCAGTACAGGCTGGGAACCGACCTTCTGGAGAGCAGCTCTGCAGAGAAAGACCTGCGTGTCATGGTGGATGATAAGTTGACCAGGAGGCAGCAGTGTGCCCTCGTGGCCAAGAAGGCCAATGGAATCCTGGGATGCGTTAAGAAGAGCATCTCCAGCAGGTCGAGGGAGGTGATCCTGCCCCTCTACTCAGCCCTGGTGAGGCCACATCTGGAGTATTGTGTCCAGTTCTGGGCTCCACAGTACAGGAGGGATGTGGAGCTGCTGGAGAGAGTCCAGCGCAGGGCCACAAGGATGATCAGGGGCCTGGAACATCTGCCCTATGAGGAGAGGCTGAAGGAGCTGGGTCTGTTCCGCTTGGGGAAGAGAAGGCTGAGAGGGGATCTAATCAGTGTCTACAAGTCCCTCAAGGGAGGCAGTGAAGAGGATGGTGCCTCTTTTCAGTGGTGGCCACTGACAGAACTAGAGGTAATGGCCACAAACTGAAGCATCAAAAGTTCTACAGGAACTTAAGGGAAAATTTCTTAACCGTGGGGGTGACAGAGCGCTGGAACAGGCTGCCCAGAGAGGTTGTGGAGTCTCCTTCTCTGGAGATCTTCAAAACCCGCTTGGATGCAGTCCTGTGCCACGTGCTCTAGGTGACCCTGCGTGTGCAGGGGGTTGGGCTAGATGACCCCTAGAAGTCCCTTTTAATCTTAAGCATTCTATGATTCTATGAAATAAGATTATAAATATAGCTGTGCCAGACTCCTCTTTCCGTTCTAAGTAAGCCTATTATCTGTTGAAAATCAAATGGAACTCTCTTTGATGGAGCTAAAAGAAAATTAAACATGGAACTTTGGTCAAGCAGAATGTGCTGATTCATAGCATGAATATTTGTTGTAAACTTTTCACAGTAGTTCATTCTAATTGGTATTGATAAATAATATTTACTATGGTCCTGCAGGTCATGGAATGTATAGTGCTACCCTGTCTAACACTTCTACGGAAAATAGCATATGCTGATCCAGTGGTGCGTTTGTCCCTAGCACAGCAGTCATCCTTTCTGCTTGTGTTATTCAGAGGTAAAGATTTTATTTCTAATTTTATTTTAATATGTGAGTAGAAAGCACCTGTGTGAAACACATTAACCAAAAGCTTACCTGAGAGCTTTGGCTGTCTTCAGAGAGAGAAAGAAATACCATTCTTTACTAGTGTTACCCAGAAAGTGGTAAATTTTGAGGAAGTTTGCAAATAGACTGTAAAAATTGAGTGTTTCACCAGTTCCATTAAATATCCCAGTTTTTCTAACATATGTTTTAATTATCTTTATTCAGTTTCCCTGATATTCCAAGCTGATGGTGCTGTTCTAACTGAAGCTACAGTATTGCTTTGCCTTCTGTTGTTTGATGAAGTAGCAAGACAAGAAACATGGTATGAAAAAAACACAATTTTTGATTATGTATCGCTAGCTAAAATTTTAAGTTTTCACATTGGTAGAAGTTTTTTTCTTTCCAAAATTGCATCTTGCTTATTTGTGTAGGCCAAACAAATTGTTTAGGTATTTGTGCTGATAGTCATACAAGTTTACTTGATGTACAGTTACAATATAAATGCATCATTATTCTTTGGTTTTATTTATTTGTTTACTTTTAATTTACTTACATTTTTCAAAAGTCCCCTGCTGCCCTCTAACACCTTTCCATAAATAGAAAGTACACTAAATAAAAAGCTATAGATCTAGCCCCTTTTTCATCTTAGTAAGAATTCTCTCATACAGTCTGGATTTTAGGTGGAGCAATTGTCCTTTTTAAAAAAAACTTCAGCTTGAAGAATGTTTCACATTTTATTATTTGAAATTTGCGTATAATTCAGAAAAAAATATGCTGTTATAATTAACACACAAAATATGGACTGAAAAAAATTGTAATGCCTGCTTTTTTTCTCTAATGGAAATATAATTTAAACAACCACATGCTTTGATAAGTCATCCTTAATTTCATTTTGATGTACAGTACATCTGCAGCAATTATTTTGCATATATGTGATCAAAGAAATTCCTTGAAGGGAAAAAAATAGCTATATCTGAATAATAGCAAAATAGGAGCATTAGTAGAAAATTAGGATATAAATTAGTATATAATGAGCAAATAATAACTATAGCTTAATCTTTTTCTTGCAGGGCTGATGACATATCTAGTAATGATACTGACCTACCTTCCTTCAGTTTGCCAGTTGCTGTTGTTAGACGGTATGCTTTTGGCAGTTAACTTTGTTGCTTTGTTAGCTACCAACCCTGAAGGGCCAAAACAGGAGGAAAAGGAGATACATTTTATGTTAAAAATGAGATTGCATTTTTAAATGTGATTTTTTTTTCTTTAAACTCCAAGAGTTTGTCCTCTGACAAAGACTTTCCAAAACTTATTTACAAATGTAAATGTCTTGTCCTAATAGAGTACTTTATTATTATTATTATTTTAAAAAAGGTATCATCTTCCGGTCAGAATCACTGCTCATCATGCTGTTAGTCCCAATGCTGTCATTACACCATTGTCTTCTGACTCCCTGGCTATGAAGCCTGTGTCAGACATGCTTAAGATGGCTTGGAATCTGTCATGGTTTCATGGGATTGAAGACCTGTTACAGCTGGTAAATTATGAGAAGGAAGCAGAAATGTAAGCTGTTCTGTTTGGATTTAAATTCCTAATGTGTTTTAATAATATTAAGGGTCTTTCAAGGTTAAATAGCTTCTCAACATAAACTGCAATTCAAATTGTTTATGATATTAGAATGCTGTCTTTTTTAAATGTAAAATGTTACATTTTAAATGTAAAAGATTACATCTCTACAGGACTTTGTAGATACGATGTCAAGGGCTGATGTTTTACCTAAATCACATTTATGCATCAAGTCTAGAGCTTGATACAACTTACAGTGACGGTCAGGCTCAGTCAGAATTAGGTAGCAGGAAGCTCACCTTATAATGGGGCTGGAATTTATTTATTTATTTATTTATTTTACACTTTTTAATGTTAATACTAAGAATTACAGTGGATAATCAAGAATCTTTTGACTATCTCTTAATTGTGCATAATTTCTGTGTTTGAGAGTATTCTGTCCCTGGGCCATAGAAAACACTGCATGCTTTGATTACACTTTTATTTAAGTCAAAATAATAAAAAAAAAAGTGACTGTCTCACTTGCACTAAAGTATGAAAGAGTTGGTGCTCACTGAAATAACTTATAAAGACACTGACCGTTAACCATTGCTCTTTACCTTTGCAGATTTTTAGACATGCTAAAGCTGTCCTCAGAAGATATTCTTATACTGAAGATAACGCACACAAGCTATGGACTGCAGGAATGTTTTAATTCCATCATTCAGGCAGTATCCCACAGGGACGTTAGGGCTGCCGTTATGAAACTAAGTTTTTATGTTCTTAATGATAAGCTTGCTTTAAAATACAACTCTGGGCCTTCTGGAAATACTTTGGAGAGCTTTGTTTGGCAAAGAGCGTTAAACAGGTAAGCATACTGACTGCAAAAATGCATTAATGCGTATGATGTTTAAACTGTAAAGTTGAAAATATGAAATTTCTGAAATTAATTTCCCCTCTATCTCTAATTTTGATTGCTTGTATCCATTCAGATATAGTATAATCCTGCAGTTGAACTGTGTCTCCTAGTGGTTACTGATGCTGACAGATGATGCAGAGTTTTAATGTAAAATTTAAATTAACCTTCGCTTAGTCTTGGCTTTGCAAGTATGTTTTTCCAGTGTAGGGATGTTTTGTTAGGTTGTTTCTGTTGTTGTTGTGTTTCTGTTAATTTGTTTGTTTATTTTCCTGGTCTGTGGTCCTGTTTTGTATTTTTCACTTTATGTTTAATATAGGTAATTCCCTATTTGCAGGTTACTTCAGTATTGCTAGGCTGAGATCTTAAATGTCTTTAATGTGCTGCAGGTGTAAAAAAGGTATTTTTGTTTGCATTACAGGTTTCTACAAGTGCTTCCAGCTTCTATCGATGATGAGAAGCTTTTGGTAGATGTCTTGAATTTTTTAAACAAGCTGCTTAGGGAGCAGAGAACAAGTTTAGAAATGGACCATCTAAAGTGGATGCTGAAAACATTGTATGAGAATGTAAGAATCCACCTAATTTATCTGTAGACTACCAAATGTTTGTAACATGTTTTTGTTTTGATGAGCTTTTCTAGAAAAAGGACTTTTAGAACAGAAGTTTTAGAAGAAAACTTTTTGTTTATTTATTTATTTATTTGCCAAATAAAAGCATCATCTACTTGTGGGTTTAGTTTGTTCAGGTGTTATTGAATGAGGCAATATGCTGTATGTGCTAACTTTTCCAGATAGCTTTATTTTGTACGCCTCAGGCAGGTGATAGGAGTAAATTTATAGTTAAATTAGTATCAAGAATCTGTTAAGAATAAAAGCATCAGTAATTTTTTTTCATGCATACTTAAAGAATTTTGAAACTTTCCATTTTGATGGTATTAATGCAAAGATTATAAAGTAAACACATGAAACAAGATTTAACCATTCTCTTTGAGTCTATGTATTGCAGTCACTCCATTCTTTCCTTTTTTATAATATTAAAACACTAAGAAGATAGCAAGTGAGGTAATAGCATATGTTTCCTTGAATGTTATTATTTTAGGACATTATAATTATGAATGGTCAGATGTATTTATTCTTTACTGACATAATATGGTTCTAGTACTTTTTAATGCAGAACCAAGAAAATGATGAAGTTTTTCTTGCCTTTCCTGAGACCATGCTGTTATGACTATAGCAAACAAAATCATAATTGTAATACCAAATTCTTTTCTGGTTCATAAAATATTGAAAATATAGAAATCTTTTACTAAGATTGCAGAATATTTATGGAAATGTTTTTGAGCCATAACTCGCTTAGTTTTCTTTTTGTGGAGCCTCATGAGATGTTTCTGTTACTTTTTGGTTTTCTTGATATATGTTAATAACATCACTTTCCCTGTTCCCTAAGCTCCAGATACCTTTATAAATTATTTTACACAAGAATTGAAATGAAATGTATCCATTTTTATATATTGAAAATTTACGTAATTTAGATAAATGCTTCACTGTCAACTTACTGTCACTCTTCTTCATGAGGCAATATAAAGATTAGTGATAGTTATTTATTAAGACAAATTCTGTCTATCCCGGAGCTTACTGTTGATGACATAGTTGAAATCATTTAGGTAAGATAGTGAAATCGTGCACTTATTGAGAGAAAAGATATTTTTAAACGCATTTGGCAGGCCACTGTTATTGGTGTTACAATTTTCCTGCAGTAATATTATATTACTGGGAAGTGTGAATGAATATGCATTATTTTACACCATTTAGTAGATTCAAATAATAAGTAATTGTAGGAAGCCTTTACTGTACATTTTATAGAAATACTTCTTAGTGAAATGATCATGCAATTTTTTTTATAAGATCTTAGGTTTACAAGCTATGAACAAAAATGGTCTTTTTGTGTGGGTGTTAAAGCAAGCTATCAATACTGGATTGCATAAATATACTTTTATTGCTTTATTCTAGAAACCAAACTCACTCTTGGACCTCCTGGTGCGGCCAGAATCCCAAGTGCAGGATGCAACAGATGAAATACAGACAGCTGTCAGACAACAGCTGGATAAAGAACTCATTCACCTTTTTAACACATTGCTGCTTTGCTCCATGTCAGTGACTGACAGGTACATTGTAAGGGATCTGCCTGCATAATTGCATAATTCCAACTGAGGAACTTAATATCTAGTGAGACTGTATCTCAATCATAATTGGTATATGATTGCATGGTGACACAGTTATTTAAAACTGTATATATTAAAAAAAAAAAAAAAAAAAAAGGGAACATACTCCTGAATTGAAGATCAAAGCTTGGTGGGCTTTTTCATGACAAAATTAGGAAAGTAATCTGGAAAGGGTGCAGTAGTGGTCACTTTCTGAGGAAATGGAAACTAAATTTGATAACTTGGTTGACTTTATAGCAGTTATTTATTGGAAATAGAACAGTAGAATATTATAAATAATAACAAATGTTTATTTTCATCCAGCTTCTTTTTGGTCTAATAAAGTGCATCTCTGCATATTAGTCATGAGTTTGGACATCTACTTCCTTCACGGAGTTCGAATCCTTTTTTGCCAATCAAGAAAAAAAAAAAAAAAAAAAAAAAAAAAAAAGGGCCTATGGGGGGAAAAAAAAAAAAAAAAAGGAAAAGATGGGGGGGGAGGTGGTTAAATAAATCCTTGACAGTTGTGTTTCCAGCTGAATTCTAGACTGATTGAAACATTTTAAAACCTTTGTCTCTTGAATCAGAATAAATAAATATACCTACCTTTGTAAGATGCAATACTAGGCTTTCAGAACCTGACTGGGGCTAAAAATATCAGATTTGCCTCCGTGTCATTCTGTGCATGGGGCAATAGTTACTAATTCACATGCTGCGAGGGACAGAATAACAAATAGAAGAATGAGGCATTGGCCACTTGTGAAATGACTCATTTTAATAACTTGCTACAGATAGCTGAACCTGTTTTGCTTTTTACAACTTTCCCAGAGAGGGCTTGGAACTTGCAGGTGCTTTCAGAACAGAGCTGGCCCTGAAGTTGCTGCAGTGCTTGAGGCTGGCAGACGCACCACACTTCTATGGCCTCCCTTCCCTTGAAAGAATACTGCGAGGAATGGTGCACGTTACTGCACTTCCAGACTGGAGCACATATTCTGCAGTGGAACCTATTGCAATCTGTAAGAAATATTTAGCAGGTCTTCTTGAGGTAAGTAGCTTGTTATGTATTTTTGGTGTGAATGCTTAGAAAGCACAATGTAATTAATTCATGAATTTAAGTTATGATTTATTAGCGTGTAGGACAGTTCTTATCTACCTGTATACTGCTTACAGCAAAGCTGTCATGAAATTGTTCCACCACTCCCAGGTCATTTCATCATTTTATGTTGAATGGGGAGGAAATGCTATGTCCTTCATGGGAAAAGGTGTTACGAAGAGCACAGTTCTTTGCTTGCTTCACTTGTCCCATGAAATGATGGCTCAAGCCAAGGAAACAGTGAGTACACCAGAGTTGTCCTTAATGTGTCATTTGCGAGCATTATGCATAGATGACATGAGATTTACCCTAATTTTTTTACGTGGTCAGTGGAAAATGCCTTATGTAACAACGGTCAAAAATGCCTTTGCGACAATAGTCAGTAAAATATCAGATTGTAAAAAATTAATCCTTCCTAATTCTCAGCTGCTTGTGTTGAAAATGCATACAAAATACTGTGCTCTAACTGGAATTTGTGTTTTTTGTTACAATCCATAGAACCAGGCTGGTCAGAAAACATACCTCTAAAATTTTAGTTATCATGCTTCATTATGGACTTAATGCATTGTTTGTGTAAGTGCATGGTTATACAAAGCACTTTGCAGGTAAGTTTTTTTGCCCTGAGCTAAGGAAATGAATTTGTACAGTCCAACTTCATTTCCTAGAATCTCCAACTAAGTGGTATGTGATACTGTTTAATTTCATTTAATCAGGTGGAAAGTACATGAAAAAGAAGAATTATGATCAAAGAAACAAATGCTTGTGGGTGTTGCTTGATATTTTTATGTATATGTATAAAAAAAAGTCATGTTAATAATGAGTGAAAATAAATTTAAGGATTAATTTTTGAATAGAAAACATTATTCTAATACTCAAGCGAAATATTTAATATCTCTTTAGCATTACTGTCCTAATCTTATGAAGAAGCAGACACAGATTTAACTTTACTCAGTAGGTGAAGTCAGTGAGTTAAGTATATCTTTACAGGAGAATCAGAATCTTTTTATTGTAATACAAGTGCTTTTAGTTTGCAAGTATGTATGTAGTCTGATAGCTCAGACTGTTGGTAGGCTGGCATGAAATTGAAGGATTTACAAAATAATTTCTTACTCTATTTTCTGTTATCAGGACTGGGTATCTCTTTGGTCCTTGCCTTATGATAACAATGAAGAGCAAGTTCCTCCTCAGCTAGGTCTGGCATGGCTGGTTCCTTTATGGGTTGATAGAGATCCTGAGGTTAGTTAAAACAATGTTAAATGGACATCTTTTGTCACTTAAATATGTGCCATATTTTTCTTTCATTGATTTTATTTAATATTAAAACTAATATGTTAAGTAATATCTTAAATTATTCAAAACATTATTGACTATATTCTGAATAACAGTAACAACTGTGAAGGAATATTTTCATATACACATCTGAGCAATACTTCCCTGCATCTCTAATCTTTCCTCTCATTAGTCACTAATGATAATGATTTATAAAGCAATATTGATGAAAACTGCTTCAACAAATTCAGAGCAAACATGTTTGGTGTAAAGTGTGCTTCATTTTATGAAAGTTTGTTAGCCAGAACTATTTTAAGAGGGAAAATATAAAGAAAATTGAAGAATATGTTAATTATTCAAAGGCTTTTTTTAAAAAAATTATTATGTCATTATTACTTACACATTGTAGTGATTATTGGCATTTGATCAGAGAGAATTTAGGGAAAAATTTGCTTCTCTTAAAAAGATTCCTCCTAAGCTACAGATTCAGTTGCTTTAACTCTCCAAGAGTCGTAATAATTAGCGCTGCTTACTGCTGCAAGTAACGTGGTTTTCTACTGTGCCCATTTGTTGTAGGTCAGATTTACCTCACTTGGAATAGGATCAGCTCTTACATCTGTTGAAGTCGGATGCATTGCTTTAGCAGAAAGCTGTCAAAACATATCAGGAGGACTGTGGGGAACAGTGATCAATATCCTTCTGGACCAATCTGAATGTAGCATGGTGCGCAGGGAGGTGCGTTTGTGTATCCTTCTGCCATCTCCTGTTGTGGATTTGTAGCATATGTCTAAAACAGTGAGCTGACTTGTAGATTGTGTTGTTCAGTTTTGGTTTGCTTGTTTTGAGTTTCGATGTAGCAATGGGAATACTGATGTTTTCTTTTCTTTCAGGCTGCTTTTATTCTACAGAATCTCCTTGTGATCCCAATTCCTACTGAAGATGTGAAAGATTGTGCTTGGCAAGTGAGTGACTGCTACATTTAATGAGAAGGTTACAGTGTCATAGAGAGACATTGCTTGTTATAAAAACATGTCAGTATATCTGTAAACAGAAATATGCGAACGTACTAGTATCCATAATATTTTAAAATACAAGCTGGTCTTTAAACCAAAACCTGTTAGGAGAAAGACAAAGAAGCTTGTTACTTGTCTTTAATTTTGAATGTTTTCTGAAAAACATTGGTTTCATTCTGTATATGCCTGAAGATTTTAAGTGTGGATTTGAATGTTCAAGGTGGCATAAAAAATTGTCATGGAATCATAGAATGGTTGGCGTTGGAAATAGTTCAACCCCCTGCTCAAAGCAGGATGAAAAAGAGCAGGTTGCACTGGGCCATGTTCAGTCAGATCTGAAATTTCTCTAAATATGGAGATTCCATGACCTCCATGAACAGTCTGTTCCAAAGTTCAACTACTCTCTTATTTAAGGGGGGGGAAAGAAGTCTCTTCTTCTATTTAAGTGGAATTTTGTTCTAATTTTTGCCTGTTGCCTCTTATCCTATCAATGGGCACAACTGGGAAGAGTCTGAATCCATCCTGATACCTTCCATCAGGTACATTCACAAGATTCCCCTATGAAACTTCTCTGCTCAAGGCTGAAGAGCCCCAGCCTTTTCAACCTCTCCCTTAATAGGGGAGTCCCTTAATAATCCTTTGGCCATTCTCTAGAGTCCCTCCAGTAGTTCCAAGTTCTCTTGTGCTGGTGAACCCAGACCTGGATCCAGCACTTCAGGTGGTACCTCAGCAGCGCTGAGCAGAGGGCAAGGATCACTTGCCCCCATCACTCTTGCTTACACAGTCTAGGCTGGACACACGGCTTCCTCGTGCTTGGATTCGTGTCCACTAAAACTGCCAGGTCCAATCATCTACAGAGCTGCTTTCTAGCCAGTTGGCCCCAGCCTGTTCTGCTGTATGGCAGTATCCCTCCCCAGGTGCAGGACTTGCCACTTTCCATTCCACTTCCTATTCCTGTAGCAACATACATAATTTTATTAGTGTAGTTACTAGTGGAATAAACCAGTTAATTATTCAAGAAAGAGCATATTTCCCAAGATTGTGGGCTTTTCAGTTTTGATACCAGAATTGGAAAACTGGATTTTACACAGGGCACAGAATCCCTGGTGAATTCCAGTGCTATGAGCTCTGAGTCAATGTGATTCTTTTCGATAAGTGCAATTTAATGGAAATTGCTCGTCAATTAGGGGTTCATGCTGAAAGCTATTGAACAATACTTCACAGTAATGTGAATAAAAACTGAAAATACCAACAACAATTACAAGACTACTTCAAAGAGTTATTTTTTGCCTTGCACAGGATGAGTTAGTTTATCAGTAGGAAAGTTAATGCAAGCAAAGTTCAAAGCAAAGCTAGTAAAGAGGATTTGGTGAGTAGCAGAAATAGTGTTTCACAGCCAAAGTAGAACATTATTGTTTTATCCCTAAGGCAAATGGGGTTGGAAAAGAAAATACTCTTTCTAGATATTATAGGGATGTTTTATTAACATGTGAATGTATGTTCTGTTGCTGTTACATAGTTGATTTGCTTTATAGTAACTAATTTTGATATGCTACTTTGAAAAGTGGCACGAGTATAATCAATTGGTATAAGGTGCTTTGAGACTGCAACATACTCCGTTATTTAAAGACTGCTAAAGTCAGAGCATGTTTTGAATGTGACTGAGTTTTGTCCTGTGCAGCCAAAAAAGTCTTGGCCTGGTATTTTAAGTGGGCAAAGAGAATGCTATCGTATTGGAGATACTACATACTGGAGATATACATATTACTATATCTCATATATATATATGAGCATATATATATGTGTGTGTGTATGTATATAATATTAAATAGTAAATATTTGAATAAATGTAGTCATACATCATGTGTATAAAATTTCTGCAGTATTCATTTACCGTACTTAATACTACCCAGGTATATTACTGACCTAAGCATGTTGTCAGTTTTCCAATTCATTGCCAGCAGTTTACATGCAGTAGAGATCTTCTTCAAGCAGTTTGTTACATCCAGTTCTTCGTTAATTGCTGTAAAAGGCAAGTGATGAAAGTGGTCAGCAGTTTATATTGCAGCAACCAAAAAGAAAAGGCAGGAGACATCCAAAACTCTATCTAGAACTTACAATGCAAAATAATTTACTCCTTCTACTTTATCTTCTTCTCTCTTTTTTTTTTCTTGTAAAATAAGCTTGTAGACAGTGTAAATGGCAGAAAGGGGTCAGATCTAGCCTGCAGATGGTAAATAGTGTTTTTCCAGCGACTTATTTATAGCTGATTTGATTCAACTACCTCCTCACTACCAAAGAAATAGCATGGGTAGATTTTCTTTCCTGTAATTTTAAATAGTTTGTGTTAAGGTACTGTCAGCTACCTGCTAAAAACCATCATCACAGAATGTAATTGGTTTGAATTCTTCTCAATCTGGGTTCTTTTGACAGTTAACGCTTTTATGGTTCTGGTCCTTCTAAAACAAGTTTTATCTTAGCTGGGCAAAGACTTTTTGCTTTCTTCTATTACTGTAGAAAACACCAGAGAAATACTGTTATAAAGGCAGGCAAATCAAACTGTTTATTTGAAATAATACTATGAAGTCTTTCTTTTAGGGTAAGTTAATAATATTTAACAAGAAGTGAACGAAAACCATTCTTCAAGGAGAATTTCTTGTAATGTTTTGTTTTGTAGATAAGTCTCTTATATACGATTGGAATTGATAGCTCTAGCATAAGGACAGTGTATTTGCCAAAAGACAACCTTATTTTATGTTAGAGATTCCTTTTTTTTAAAAAAAAAAGTCTTTGTGAATTTCATGTCTTTAGGGACCCTGTGTACATGATGAAGAGTCTGGTCTCTCACAGTCAGGCAAACCTGCACTACAGGCCCTTTTCTATCACTGCCGCTTCTATGAACACTTGAATCAGATGGTGAAGCGCTGCTACCTTGGGTGTTACATGTTTGATTTGAATTGTGCCAAGGGAGACAACCTGACCATGGAAAAAAGTGGTACAGCTGGTAAGTGATCCTAATGTAACTTTGTATTCTTAATCTAATTAAATAATTTCTAGTTTTGAGTAATTCTGCTAAGATATGAATTTGAAGCTTTTTTGAAGATGAGAGCATCTGCTCATTACATATTTCTGCTGTGACACCCAATTCCTTCAATACTACTTATTATGAAATGATTAAAGCCTCCACAACTGCAAGTTGAGCTGAATGTAATTTTTTCTAACCTTATGTTGCAGCTGAATATAGTATACTTACATTACTGCTGTTTGAGGCATTAGTGGACCGTAACTCATTGGTCTTATGTGTAAAAACCTATTAAATATTTTGAAATCTTCAGAAGGAAAGCTGATCATTACTACTGTTTCACTGAAAGACTGATTTGGAAAGCTTGCTAAAGCACTCTGGTTTTCTTTTTTACTACTACAAGACCATTTTTTGCTGTTGTGTGTTTTTATTTGTTTTGTTTTAATCCTTTTTCTGGTTTTCCTACAGATTTTGATGATTCGCTTAATATTTGGAAGGTTCCATCCACTCAAAGCCAGTCTTCCCATTCTCTATCAACATCTGATACTATGGTAAATTTCCCTAGCAACTTATTTGTTTTAAATATACTGTTGTACATTTAATTTTCTTCAAATCATTTCATGCTGTTATGGATGCTGAAAGACAAAGCTGAGCCTAAATTGAAATTTACTCTAAATTAGCTTTAATACACTTTTAAAAACTTTTATAGTTATTTACCTTGGCAAATGCAAATAAAATGGCTTCATTTATCTAGTTAAGTGGATAAGGCAATGATGGATTCTTTTTGTATCTTCTCTCAGCAAGACATATTCTCTAGAAATTTCTCTGCAGTTGACTTTATTGACAAAAGGTAGCTGGATCATCTGTAGCTGTCATTTCTGTTGCTTTTCCTAGCCGTCATTTCAGAGTGATCCAGCATTTGCATTATACAGTTACAGAACTGGATCAATAAAACCACAGCAGCATATTTGGTTAAAATTATATAATATACATATATATTATAATAAACTCTGGGTTCTGAAAATGCACAATTGTTTGCCTGACCTGTGAAAAATATATGAAAGCAAGTGACTGCATGATAAAGTTGTTTGAGTGGGATGGTTGCTGTAATAAAATACTGTGAAGACATTGTGTCTTTCAAGATGGCAAATGCAAAAGAAGAGAAAGTGAAGTGCTTTCTTCATGCTCCAGGACAGATTTGCAATACAGGTTCAGGCTGCAGGTAGAACTTTTCTAATAATTTTTAAGGTACCCGATAAAAATAATCTATTCTCAAAGATTGAAGTAGACCTCTGAGAAAACTGACATATTGCATAGCAATCCCTTTTTATAATTCTATGTTTCTACTTTTGTGATTAATGCATAGCCATCTAATATATCAGAGCCATAAAAAACATAGCTCATGCAATGTATAATTTATTTAAAGATTTTTTTTTATGAAAAACAATGCTATGCATTTGCTGGCAGTATCTACAGGTTTAGTTTTCCTGCATCTCCTTGTATGAGACAAAATAGCTCCATGAAGAAAATTGTAAGATTGTATTCATGTACTTGCTATTTCATATTACATAGATCTAATCTAACATATGTTGTTGCTGAAACACCTGTGTTGTTTCTTCTTTACAGTATTGGTCATGGTTATTTTGGGCCAAGAAAAAGAGTTTCATATAGGAGCTTGGCAGGGTTTTTGTTTGGCTTCCCCCCCCCTCCCCCCCCCCCCCCCCCAAAAAAAAAATAGGGTATTGTAACTTTTGTGACTTCAATGTCTTCAAAGTATTTGCCAGTTACAGAATTTCAGAGCAACGCTTTGATTTGAAATAATCATTCAGAAGTTTCTCTTCTGTTGAATAGATGTGCTGATTTGATAAAGCTTTATCACATGCAACAGGATACTATCCTTTTTTTATTGACTCAAAATATTATGCAAGATTTTTGCAATGGAAGGTGACGAAAAAGAAAACATAGCCAGTACTGAAATATTGTCTCAATATTTCACAGTTATCATCTTTCCTTTGACTTATTATTATCAATGTATTGCTATCGAGTGTTGTTACTGTCATTTGGGAAATTTAAATAATTCAGTATTTAGTTTAAAAATCAGCTATTTTTCATATCTTTTTAGAAATGTATTCATTTAATAAATGAAAATGAAACAAAAAAATAAGATATTTTAAATTTATTATTCAGAACTGAACATTTGAAAATGATATAACTGAGTCATTATAAACGAGCGCTCTTAAATATGCTTTTAACTGAATTATCTGTGTCGCCTTCTCACTCGGGAATTATTTGCATATTATTTGAGGGGAAGTTCAGCTTTAATGACTTGGAAAAAGAAGAAAGTCCAATTTGAAATTTACTAGATCAGATAAAAGCGTACGTGTAAAATACCATCAATGGTTAGTATGAAGACATAGATTTACAGTTGCATTTAACAAATGGAAAGCTCTGAACTATTTATAGCTGAAAGAGCATGTGATACAATGATGTGTTCGTTTGTATCAATCTTCCAGATATTTTCATACTTTTTGTATGTATTTGGGAAGATTGTGCTTTTACAGCTGATGGAAGAGAGCTGAATCCAAGGACATTTTTTCCTTGCTTCCACTAGTCAATATAGATTTTACAAAACAATTTGATCTTACTTTCTCCTTTGAGAGAGACTATTTAATTTGCGTTTGTCCTTCACGTGCTTTAGCTTTATGGACCTTATAAGCAACTCTGAATTCTAGTTATTATTGACTAGGTTACTTAACCTTTAAAGTGTCTGAATTGATGTGACGGGTGGTAAGTTTTCATGTTGAGGGGAGAGGTGGGCAAGTCGGATGTTCCAGTGCCCCTACAATTGTGAAAGACTGAGGAAGGGATCTGAGACTATACAGAAACTCTGTTCCAAAGAGTGATTAGTGACTACTGAGTATTTATCTGTTGTCTAAAGTTTGGAAATATTTTAAAACTCAAACTGTCTTATAAGTTCTTGTAACTTTTTATATAAATTGACATTTTGTTTTCTTGCAGTCTGTCCCAAAACTTTCAATTTTTATATATGAGGAGGAGTAAAATATTTATGAATTAATTATGCCAAAAAATATATGTCTATTTGTCTCTGAATTTGGCCTGTCGCTGCAGATGTAATTATTCCAAGCCCGCTAGATGGCAGGCTTTCCCTGTCACAGATGAAAGGGAGCCTGCACATCTTACTGAAAGGACGAATGTTGATGTTTTCGTGTCTGGCGCAGATTTGATGACAGCAGCCCCAAAAAATTGAGAGTTAGCAGCTATCAAAGCATGTACAATTGTTTCTGTCAGAAGCTCTTTTCTTGTATTTTAATAGCTTTTTACATAGCAAATTTAAAACAAACAAACAAACAAAACCACAGTTGTAAATCTACCCTTATCCATTTGTCCATGCATTTCACGAATGCCAATCTAGGTATCTGAAACTGCCTTTTGCCTGCAGTAAGCCACATCTTTGTGGAAGCCAAAGCTCGCTGTCTTTCTTGAATTCTAAGAGCAGAGGAAAGGTCTGCTGATTCTGGAGGATGCATGAAAACAGCTCTGACAAAAAGAAGACGACACCACTATTTTTCTCACTTTTGAGTTTTCATGTAATTAGTTTGAGCTATCCAAAGGCTGGCTTTATTTTGAGTTCATATAAACTCAGGTGAAGGTAGTATTTAACTTTTTTCCCAGATGTATAAAAATTGGGAAAATTAAAGCAAGTACATTAATAACAGAAATGATTCTTATTTAGTCTCTAAAGTAGTCTGACGGGTCTTGCAGAGACAGTACAACTCTCCTGATTTTACAGAGTGAAGAATTGTGATATGGGAATGAAATAAATGACTCAAGGTCACATAAAAGGCAATAGTAGAGCTGAATTACCTCTGTTAAACTGATTTGTGCTGGTTTTAGTATCTTTAAGATCTTAGTAGATTGCAGATTTGTCAAAATCATCTTATTTTTCTGTAAACTATAGTGTGGATATTACAAAGAATACACTTCTTTTGAAAATAACATTTGTCCTTTGAAGGACTACATGAACTCAACTTATTATAACAAAAAACAAATCCTTACTTTTAATCAATATCTTTGTTTTAATATGTATGCTTTAAAGCACCCATCAGGCACCAGTAGGCTAGGACTGCTTAACGGAATGAACAATTGGTTTAAAAATTGGGGCTAAGAATGGTGCAGGTTAAAGGAGCTACAGGCTTTCCCCATAGATAGAAAGAAGATTTCATGGAGAAGAATGACTATGAGTTAAAGCTATTTGATTAAAAAAGATAAAAATGTGCATGTTTTATTTACTGGATCCATGGTTACCAGAGTGCTCTAAACTAAAGTGATGTAAACCACTGAAAAGAGCACTGGATAGAATGAATCACTGAAAGCCTATTAAAGCAATGCTAGAGGGATTTTTATGCTGGAGGTTAAGAAAAGACCTTTATTCATATCTAGTAGATAAATGACAAAAGCATCACCTTTGTCTTGAGTCCCCCGTGACAATTTCAGTGTCCTTCTCTATTCGTTGTTATGATCTGTAGTCCTCTTCGCACTTCTTCCTCTCTAGTACCTCTCCTTCCAAACCTCTGTGCTTGTGCAGTGAAACACCAGAGTGCTTCATCACTCCTAGAAAGAATATGGTGGCAGTAGTAAATAAATAGTAATTGTAAATATCTTCTACAGGGTATGATGTCCCAGACCCCCAGATTATCCTTATCAAGGGTGATTTATAAAAGTGGTAATATCTTTTCTTTCCTGGAAGGCAGAACACTGTGGAAATTACTTCATTGTGTTATTGTATGTTTTCTGTTAAGATAGCAGAAAATGTCTGTTTTTAACCCCATATCCCACTGTGAAGCAATTACCAATAAATGTTCCATCAGTGCAGGAAGCTAATAAGGTATATTTTTCCAACCAGATAACACTATTATTGATGTGTGTTTTTTGCTGTTTTTTTTTTCCTCTTCCAGTTAGATAAGACTTTATTTTTATTTCTTTGACCATAAGGCTCAGACAGTTGGACAGGATGCAGAAAGAATACATGTTATGCAGCACAGCTGATGTGCTGATTTGTTAACACGTGCAAGCTTGTATGCATTCATAATATCATTAAGATGAGTCCCAGCATAGCAGTAATTTCTTTCGGTTTTAGCTGCTGCAGGAGAAATACAAGGACTGTTAGAGGCAGTACTTTAGGTTTGTGCTTGTATAATTTATATATATATTTCTGACATTTATTAAAGTGCTGGAATTTAAGTACAGTGCTTAATAAATGCAGAATTTACTCAATGTCATAGTGGAGTGATTTACTCTAATACAAATTATTGATTTATATAATGATTTAAATCAGCAAGCAGAAAACTTTTCATTTACTTTAATTTGCAAATACGCTTTTTAGGTATGTATTTAAAAGTTCTATCTAAAATATAACTGTGCTTGATTTTCAATTTTATGATGGAGTTTGGTATTGCTTTTTGCTCACAGGGAGAATATGGTGTACCCAAACATGTCTTATTGATTATGTGGTCCTGGGATTCAGATCTGCACCCTGATTTGCACCTCTGTGCTACAGTGACGTTTGGTCCTTTTTCAGGACCAGCTGAGCATGCTTGCACAGGAAGAGTCAAGGAGATAGTGGGGAAGCAGAGCAAAATGGGGGGAAGGCAGTTGCAGCACGGCAGTGAAAACCTTCAGCTCATGCAGGGCAACATTGTGTGATGTAAATATGTGCTGACAAGGTTTGGAAGTGGCTGGGGACCACAAGGGGAAAATGGAAAACCTTAGGGAGAAGAAAAGACTGTAGAGAGTTTTCTGCAACTCATAATGCCGTTGAGTAAACTGAAACCAAGCATGGAAAGAAGTGACCTATCTGCACTGGTTCAATGGGTAAGAGAGGAATTAATGAATTCTCTCCCCTTGCCACTTGATGTGGTTGTTGTCTTTTAGATCACTTCTGCTTTTTCCTTACGTAAAAATTATTTGAAATGATATTCTGATAATCCTTCAAAAAGAAAAAAACAATACCTCCTTTGAAGAAAAAAAAAATCTACTTTATGTGAATAGTCCAGCTAGTAATCAAAGAACAGAAGTGAAAAAGTGCCCTGGCATAGGTATTTATGCTCTGAGTCAGGTCACAGGTCCCGGTAGGTCACAAAGAATATTATTAAGCTGTAGAGTCTTGGGCTTCTGATTTTGTGCTGGCAATTTAAAACATAGTGACAAGACTATTAACTTCTTTGAAAGTCTGCAAAGTTGCTAATGTGGCAGGGGATTTAGTTGCTCAATTAATAGAAGCTTCACTATAGTATATTATTGTGATGTAAATATATCTTCACCACAAAACAAACACATCTGAGGATCACAGGACTAAGGTTAAGAGAAGTCAGAACAGCTCCAGAACTTACTCTTTGGCTGATGAGACTAATCCATTTATTATGTTTTATCTAAGTGTGCCCTTACACAAATGGATGAGCCCTGATATTTTCAGCAGAGCAGAAGTGCACAGGAATCTCAACTTTAAATGTTTCAGTGATGCCTTTCTTTCTTCACAAAAAAGTGGATTAAAAACAAAACAAAAAACAACCACAAAAAATAAGAGGGAAGAGAGGGATTTTCCAGTATTAAATCTCGGGCATTGATAAGTTTGTGAACTGAAATGTTTTAGCTTGTTCATATTGTTTTTTTTCAGTAGTTTCAATTCTCAGATGTTTATATTTTTAAGACAATCAACACTGAGTTAAATTGAATGCTGAGTAATTTTTACATGTATTTCTGTGCCTTCAAGCAAAATGAAAATGTCTGTTGTATTAAAGATTGAATAGCTAGTTTGCTTTTTTTTCTATCTAGATTCTGTCTGCATCACCGTCACTGGGGAGTGCTACTGAGCTTCAGACAAAAGGCCCAACATATTCATCCAGTTTTATTCCCAAAACTGCAGCTGATAGGCTTACAGCTCAAGGTAAGCTAAACTTTAATTGACTTTGTAAACATGATGATGAATATAATGTATTATTTAGCCTGTCCTTATTCCAGTATTTGGATACGCATATAAATCTTGTGTGTCGTTGGAACAGTCATGCTGACACTTTGAATGGTTATTTCAGAAAACAAGCATAAAATCATGCCTTTAAATTGAAATAAGGTGAAATACATTGACAGAATTAAGTACTAATGGTTAGTCTTGTTTGAAATGTTACATATTTGTGAGACCACTTTTCCATTCCTGTCAGCCAGTCACCCTTTCAAAATATTAAGTTTTATAAAGATGTCAAATATAGTTAAAGAGCTATGCACCCAGTATTATGAACGAAAGAAAATAAAAATTATGTCATTCCAGATTTATCTTTAGTGGCCTACAGAAAGAACAGTTTATATAGGAAAAATATTAAATAACACTTTCCTTGTATCTGATTTTTTTTTAATTCCAGATTATACTGTTTTAAGTATATAGGGAAGATGGATATTCTATGAAAAATAAAAAGCAAGTTGTTTTACGTAAATGCAATGATTTTTTTTTTCATATGGTTCTTTTGTTTCTCTCCTGTGTGTTTAATGAACACACTTTAGGTCAGAGTGATACTACCACAACAGGGTCTTCAAGTCAGCATGGTTCTCCCCTGTCTGTTGGGCTGTCTAAACAGTGTGCTGTGGTCACACCCGCTCTCCTGTCTGCGGTTTGCAGCCTTCTGCATAATCTGCTCGTTGTCACTCCAGAAGATACTGGAATTGCTCTCCAGCAAGCACACTTGCTAACAGCTCTCAGCAGGTAGGGGATCAATAGCTGCTGAACTACGAACAGGTGTAGTAATAGAGCTGAAAAGAATGTAATGAGATCTACCAGTGTTTCATACCAAAGCTGTTAAAGGTATTGATCAGATCTTGCTTCTGGGGTGTTAACAAAGGCTTTATTTAATTATTTATTTATTTTCCTTTTTAACACGAGTAGCAGAAAAAGAGGGTTTTTAGAATTTTATACACAGAAGAGGTAGACAGAAGAGTCGTATGGGTGATGCTAGTTATGGTGGTGGTCTTCTACAGAAATGTCATGGTTGTTTGTTTGTTTGTTCTTTTTAATACTTAGATGGAATGTTTGGAGGACAGACCAGGGCTTGTCATAGTAAAAGACCTCTCCTAACAACTTTGGGAAAACATTAGATCAGAAACCCTTAGTTCATGGGTGTTTTTTCTTAAAGCAAGAATAATTTGAAATAGTTTTCAATTGTATGTTTTCCATTTTTCTGTTCGAGTAAGTACAAATTCTTTTATGTGAAGAAAGTGTTTGGAAGTCCTGAAGCGATGCATCAAAATTAGTGGGGTTTTGGGTCTTGTTTTGTTTTTCTTTCGAAAGTTTTTTGTAGTTAAGCCTCATACATAAATTAATAAAAACAAATCTTGTTTGAATACACATTATATTAGCAGCGAGTTGTTAATTTTTTTTATGAAAGAAAATGATCAATTAGGAAACAACAAATGATTTAGTCTTAAAAATACTTTATGCCCCTTTGGTTGTACTTGCACTACAATTAAAGCTTATTATAGTTTACTCTGTTTATTTAAAATGAACTTTTTATGTAAAATTAGTATATTTTTTAATTGCTTACACATGTTTCTTATCAACTGGCTTTATTTTAGTCTTGTAAATGCTAATCTAATCGAGAGATGTATCCTGGAACTGAAAGCTCCTTTGGGTAATTCCTGTCATGTGGAACAAGTAAAAGTTCAGGTTAGAGAAGCATTTGTTGTTGTCTGAATTTTCTTTGAATGATGAAGCTATATTTTTATTATCTGTATTTATTAATATAGCCCATACACAGTGGTGGAAGTGAGATGACTCGCTGCTCTTACGAAAGGCTTGAGAGAAAAGTAACAATATACTCTGTTCAACATACCAAAAATATTTATTTATTAAAAGAGCTATACTTAGAACTATCGAACAAATAAAAATCAGTTGTGTTTTAAAAACAGATTGAACTCAGCAGCTACAAAAATCACATAATTTAATTTCTTTAGAGAAGACTACCAAGGCCTTATGCAGTTACTGACACATTTGTTTAAAATTTTAAACACCATTCTTATACAGATTACTCCTAAATTTCATACTTACTGCCTGTTGGCTTTGCTTTGCTTCCAGTCTTTTAGACACTTGAATAGTTCTTAACTAACTCTGGTATATAAAAACTGTAGAGATTCATTACCTATAGGACTACATTGGTATCAAAATATTTAATTTGTAGTAAAATACCCATACCTGTAAGGAAGTGTGTTCCTGTGGTATTTTTGGGGGAATAAATAATGTATATATGACAAAAGTACTTGTTTTTCTAGTACTTAAAGCAAAGATTCTGTTTTCAGAAAGTATGCATGTATTTATTAGTATTTTTCTTTTTTGTATTTATTAGTATTTTTCTTTTTTCCTTTGTGATAGTTTCTGAAAGCTCAGAGCCTACACGAGCCATGACTTTCTGATAAGGAATTCAATACTTGTTCACACAGAAGAATCCTTTATGCATTCATTTGCAGAGTAGGAACTCTGTTCTATTTTTTACAGTAGAAAATGAAGAAGATCTTAATTTATGTCCTGTTATTTCTTTTAACTGGTGTATTTATAAATTCAAAATTAAATGAATAAATTGAGGTAATGTGTTTAAATCATAAAAATGTGGCAAGTGCAAATATATGGCTTTATTTCCTATCCTTCTAACAGGTATTACTGCTACTTCAGTACTTATCATCTGTGTCCAAGCTTTTGAAAACGTGCTTACTGGTGCACTCTCAGCTTGTCATCCAGGATGAACTGTTGAAACCTTTCCTAGGAAACAGTTTCATGATCCTCTCCATTCGCTCTAAAGATGGGCTCGGTAAGAAACAATTTTATTTTCAGCACAGCCAAATGGCAGGTCTCTATTTTAAAGTGTCAGTTTCATTTAAAGTGTCAAAACTTGTGATCAGGCTTGGCCGTTCAAATTTATATGCATGCTTAAACTGTTTGATTTTTCTATATTCTCTTTGCAGATGCTGAGCTAACATCTGCACTCCATGAAACCTGGATAGACTACTTCAATCTTCTAGCTACGTTATTGTGGAAAAGTGGCCAATTTTCTCTTCCATCTGTAACAGCAGCTCTTGGAAATCATTGGACAGCAATAATTGGTAATGCCTTTTCCTGTTGGTTTGCAACCTTGCAACTAGTTAAAAATAAATAAATAAAATGAGGGGAGTCACCCCTGATTAGATGCTGTCAAGATGTATACAAACAGCATATTCATAACGGTAAACATTATCATGCCAGGTTTTCACTTTTTCCTGAATTCAACCTTTGTAATTCTTTCTTAGGCAGTCAGGCTCATTTCTGTTACATGCATGCAAATAAAACTTGTGAATTTATGGTAGTGTTGCTAATTGTAAACCATAGCCAGATACTGTACGTTTAAGCCTGAAATGGTCAATTAGTATTTTGCTTTTTCCTCATATGTACTATTTTATCTTATACAAAAACAAAGGCAAAAAAAAATCAGAGGAGGTAAGGGGTACTGCAATTCAAGATATTAAACAGTCATTTTTTAAAATGCTTTACTTGTTACTTGTCTAGTCAGGGTTCTGAGTCAGCAGGACTCTCTAACATGTTTCAACATGGAACATGGTCCATTCAAGCTTGTGATTTCAGTCAGCTGTATGTTAAGTGATCTGGTGAATGAAGGTGTAGCTACACATCAAACAAATGTAATTACTGTCAGTGCTACAATGTAAGCTGTAGAATAAAGTGCAGAACATTCAGTAAAATTGTTAGATAAATGAATGGCTTAGCAAAAGGAGAATACCTTTTTAACTTCTGGTCAAGTTAATGGATATCAAATAATTCTTTCAAACCTTAATAAACCTAAAAACTTTCCATGCTTGCTTCTTTTAAAGACTTACTGTCAAATGTATAAATGTACTATAAATGTGCAAATGTGTAATGTACTTCCTCATGAAGTACACTAATGAAGCGGCTTCTTGGCTCATGCATTCTTTGATCAATTTTCCAAAATTCTAAAGTTCTTTTAACTTGTTATAGAATGAAATGTAAACATCTTTAATTTTTTTAATTTAACATTTCAGATACCATTTGTGATTGTATTAATCTGTCAACCACGTGTCCTGATTTATATAAGGCTAGTTTACAGTTTATCACTGCCCTTTTGACTGAAGAAGGAAAAAGACAGCTCGGTGATAAACAGAGTATGTGCCAGAATCCAACTGTAAGCTTTCTTCTAGATGAAGCTGAAGGATGTCAGGCATCAGTAACTCAACTTACTGGATTAATAATTCAGGTATTTGAACTTTAATAGTGTAAATGTAGTGTAGTATTTCTGTACTTTGTTAAAAATGATTTTTTTTTTATCTAATGAAGAATTAGTTTAGTCTCTAGTTATAGACTGAGCCATCTTTCATCTCTTGTGTCTGTTATTACATGAAGTTCTCCAGTTCAAACTGGAGAAGTTGCAGAGAAGCAACTTATATGCAGTGCCTCTCAAGACATTTACTGTCATACTGCAATAATATGATATGAAATCTTGTGTGGGGAAGATGTGCACGAGTAGAATATATTTGGCCAAATACTGAAATGTTTCTTTTTATCAGATAGAGTGGGATTTTTAAGGCTTAACATATTGTTATTTCCACTGTAAATAACAGCATTATTGTTCTTAAGCTGTCTAATCATAAAAATTGTGACCCCAAATGAGTCATTATGCCCTGCAGTTTGTTTCCTGGCAGTGTAAGATTGGCATTGTTACAGTATAGGGGCATATAATGTATTTTCCAACCTAATTTTAAGTCTGCCAGGTATAATATTTTCATTTGTTCCTTCGGGAACCCATTGCCCAACATAATATATACTACTGACCATATTTCTAGGTACTCATTCTCAGTGTTTTTTCTTTCCTCATATAATCTCATTATTCTCATTTATACTTGCTTGTACTGTCCTAAATACTTCCTTTACCTCTTTCATATTAATATCCTTCATTTATTTACTGGCTGTTAAAATTTCTTCCATTACTTACTTACTTGTCAGTAAGACAAGATGTATGTGAAATTTGTACCTAATTTATCTTCGTTCTCAGGTCAGTTCTTCTATCTACGTACTCATTGTCCTTCTTTAAATCATGCGCAGTTTGTCCCTGTAGCAATAATAGTGATCCATGAGTAAAATGTACTAAATGGTTGAGCAAAGCTGAAGCACTTCCATTTACTAATGCTTTCTCTTTGTTAGTTTTAGAAGCATGTATTTGTCTGAGATGCAAGCTTCATGCAACTTAATGTGGTTTATGATTTCTAAATCATAAGATCTGGAGTCTAATGTCTACTAATTATTTTTTAAAAAAATCAATCTTATTTTGAAACTTTTTGTTTGTTTTTTATGTATCTGTGGATGTTGAATGATGCAACCAAAGTAACCCCATCTTAGTAGCACGTCATTTCCCCTATTCCTGTGGTTGCTGAATTCTGTACAATAAGTTTGCTCTCATCAAGGCTTGGCCTGATCAAGCTGACATGTCGCATAACCTATGATCCCCATGTTGCTGTTTTACGCTGCTGTGGCTCTGTAGGGGTTGGAGGCAGAGTGTTCTGTGTACTGAGACTCCAGTAATCTGCAGGGACAAGCAGCTTACCGAGTGAGTCTGTCTTGGCACGCTTGGCCAGGCCAGGAAAACACGAATTACTCCATTCTTTACCAACAAACTTTAGATTACTTATGTGCTTAGAGACCTGTAAGGCTGTGAGTTTTGGAAACTCAGGACAGCAAAAAAGGGTTCGCTTCACTGAAATCCCGTGAGTAGCTTAATATCCTGTTAGTATTTTGTAGTCATATTACTCCAACACTAAAGTATGTCAGAATTTAATGCTTCTGTATGTACCTTAGCCTCCTTAGTTCTGACACAGAAAGCGTGTCAGTATGTTAAAGAACGGAGACCTTCAAATGTTCCGAAGTCAGTCATCCTCTTATATTTTGCTACAAGTATATACATCAGTGACTGCCAGTCTTTGCTGGTAAAAGGTGATGCTTCTCATGATTACAGCACAGAAAGTACCTATACAGTGAAGAATTAATTGCAGCCAAGCCTACAGCTAACAGTCAAAGTACATCAGATACTATGACATAGTCTGAGCATTGCAAGAGGTACTAGTCTTTAACTTAACAGTTAACTGTTCACACAGCTGTCCAAAAAGTTGATGGACATTGCTTTTTATTCACAAAGTTATTGAAAAGATAACCTGTGCTTTTTGGGGCTTTGCTTTTTTGCAAATTCTCTCTACTGAGAAATTATTATGTTTGCTGGATTTAAAAAAAAAAAAAAAAGACTAGAGAGCTAGTTTACCTTAATGTCTAATTATAATCAAGTGAAATAACAAGTGTTAAACAGAAGCAGTAGGAAAGAGCAGATAAAGGGAGAATCACCAGGAAGATATAGCATTCTATTACTTTTTTTTTTTTTTTTTAACCATGGTCATCACTGAAGGACAGTCAAAGATAACCATAGAACAAATAATACAGCTTAAAAAACTATGCAGTAAAAAAATAAGTACAGTTTTTCTACAGAAGTACCCAAGGATATAATGAACTTTTATGTATATATAGCTATGTATATATAGCTATGTGTATATATAGCTATGTATATATAGCTATGTATATATATGTATGTATGTATTGGGGGGGAAAAAAAAGAATTATCAAGCAATCAGTAATCTCTGTTAGTTACCCCACCTATCTTAAATATTAAGGTTTTTATTGGGAATCTGATTTTTGATATATACTACTCTCACTTATTTTGGATATCAGTATTAGGTTTATATTTTAGGCAAAAATGGTGTTCAATATTCTCTTTTAGATAATATGAAAGACTGGGAGCAGCCTCTTTTTAATAACTGTCTAATATGGTTCCAATAAGTATAATCTCTATACTTTCCAATGAATATTCATATTGTTATTATTTACTAGAAATGCGAGGCTCACAAAGGCCTCACATGGATGCAGAAATAAGATAAACTGGTTTTTCTTTGGTTGGAACTGTGCCTAATAATTATTTGTGTGTCAGTGATATGTTTATTCTAAAGAAGTTTTCTAATATTCAGTTTCTGTTCTTGAACGTTCTCTTGAAGAAAAATAAGATTGTACTAAAAGAATATTGCAGAGGTGTCTATGATACCATGGCTGCAGATTAGAAAAATTTTCGAATGCCGAAATTGGGAATCCAGTCTTGAAGAAGGTAAAATGTAAAGAATAAGAAAACTGGGCTTAGGAGCAAATGATTTATTTATTTATTTATTTATTGCCTTTTAGTTGAGAAAATAGTGAAGCACTTCTTTGCAAATAAACATGATTATGTGCATGGAGAATTCCGAATAGGAATAGAGTGTTGAATCTTCAGAATATTAATATAGTCTATAACAACATACTTATACATGTGAATACCACTTTTAATATGTATGACCCCTTCTCCATTATCTCATTATTTGTAGGTCTATGAGAGAAAATCTTCAAAAGATGTCCTGAAACAAGTGGCTACAAGTGCATTGCTATCCCTGTTAGCTGTCAGTAGAAATGCCCAGAAATGTGCTTTAGAAGGTAAGCACTTTAGAAGGTAAGCATTTGATTTATAAATCAAATGTTTGCTGGTGTTTTAAACACTTCATACTTTGCTAACATAGTGTTGTAGGTGAAAGTGTGTCTGGTATTCTCTTTGCTCTACCCAAATGCTCTTTTTTTTTTGTTTCCTTTTTCCTATTCTACAGTTTTTAGTGGCAGCCCCTCCATTGAAGGCAACACCTTCCATGCCCAATAATTTTCCTTTTTCAGTAGTAGAACTAAAAACCTTCAGTCAGATTTTTGAGCAGAATGCAGGAGAGGCTGATTTATTTGCATTTCTTATATAAAACAGTTAATATCTACTGATAAACACAGATATGCTTTTCATCTGGATGTTTTTTAGGTATTTACATCTCTGTGTTGCTTAGCCTGATTCCTTAAACCTAGATCATATTTAACTAGCTTTTTATATCTGCTTGTTGTCTGATCCCCCTTATACTAGCATAACACTCCAAAATTCTAATCATGCATTATATACTTGTGTCTGTGTGTCCTGTATATATACACTTTCTCCTCCTCCCCAAGATACTGGTGATCCACTTAGCTCTTGTTTCAATCAGCATTCTCAATTTGTTGATATCACAAGCAGTTATCCAAGAGACTTGGCTTTCTTTCAAGACAATACCAGGATAAAACTCAAGTGTTTTCTGTGCCAGAGAAGTCTTCAAGTCATCTCCAAGTCACCTTGCAGCACAAGTGATAAAGATAAGAGGAAAAAGTTCTGAAGTGAAAGCTATGTCCTGAAAATGTTTCTAGCTTTAACACCAATTCTTTAGCTCTTCGTGTTTACTTTCTAAGGGATCAGAAAACATATGTGGACGAATCCTGGGAAGGAGCCACTCATTACAATACAGGCTGGAGATTGGCTGTTGGGGACCTACAAAGGTCCTGGCAGACAACAAGCTGAACATGAACCAGCAGTATTCCCTGGCAGCAGAGAATGCCAGTACCTTGGCATTAATAGAAGCAGAGCCAGCAGATCTAGGGGAAGAATTATCCCCCTCTAGTCAGCATTCCTTAGACCACACCTCAAATGTGGCATCCGGTTTTGAGCTCCCCAGCACAAAAAAGACATCAACAAACAGGAGTGAGTTCAGTGGAGAAGCCACCAAGATGTTTGGGGCCTGGAGCACTTACTCCCTGAAGAAACACTGAGGCAACTGGCCTCCTTCAATCTGATGAAGAGAAGGCTTCAGGGAGACCTGAGTAGCCTTGTAGTACCTACGAGGTTATCAGGAAGACGGAGTCAATGCTGCCTGATGTTGGGAGACCAAGAGACAATGGCTATAAACTGATATTAAAGCTGAGTGCTTTGAGCAGGAGGTTGGATCTCTGGAGTTCATCTCTTCCAACTTGTTTTATCTTATGATCCTACAGTCTCACTCAAGGGCTCTAGGTCATAAGAGCCTCGCTTCATATTTTAGAGTCTGAATCACCTGAATGTTTGCTTTCCTTTGTCTCTACTTTCTCTACCTCAGGGATACTAAATCTGGAAAGAGTAGGGGGAAGACTTGGGTAAGATGTGTGTTTATTTGCTCTAACCTCTTGAAGGTTTTGCCTTTGAGTTTCTAGGCAGCATTGTTAAAGATGTCAAAAATTATGAATTGCTATCCTCTTCCCCCCAATTCTTTTTCTACAGCCATCTTCTGCAGCTGTCTCCATCTTTGACATCCGTCTGCCTTGTTTCTGCAGAAATGCAGAACTACAGATATTAAAGTCAGAAAAATAAAAAATTCTTCTCTATATCTTATCAGTTCTTCCCTCCTTGGGAGTTCATCTCACAGAATTCAGTTGCAAGAGGAGTTATCACCATCCAGTTATATTCAGTCCATTTCAAAGTGTGTTAGTTCTTTCCTGAAACCAAAAAGATAGATATATTTCTTGAACTTACAGAATTTGGTCATCAGTACCCTTAAGTTTCAGTTCAGGTGGGGTAACAGAAATCAAGATAATTGCAAGAAGGCTGCGTGTTCCTGATTTCTTTTTTTTTCTTTTCTCTTTTTTTTCCAGCTGACCTAATAGACAGCTGTGTAGAACAGATGAAACGTATTCATGCGCAGATGAATTTGGATTCCCTAAAGCCTGGGAAGACTCAGAAGAAAAAGGTAACAATAAGAGCTGTAAGGCTGATGTAATAGGGCACTTTCAGGTTTTTTACTGAGGCAAATACTCCTAGCTATTTGCCATGGGTGAGAGAGTAAATTGCACCCTGTAGTGGATCCCTGGGTACTGGCCATTCTTTAGGAACCGGTGAGTTTAGAACTTTTACCCTGCTTGATTATCTCACACCCTCAATCACTCCCTTGTGCAATGTTATGTTCATTGAGTCTTGACCGTCTTTCCCATTGGCAAGAGTTTGTCTTATTTTCCTATTTCTTTTCTTTTAACTTTTTTTTTTAAAAGAAAGAACATATTTGACCTAGATTCATTCTAAGGGAAAATGGAAGCATTTTACCTGGAGATTCTCTACCTCTCATGAATTAATTACCCTAATGCCAACAAATGCCATTAAATAATTTATTATAATCTGATTTATTGAATATATTATTTATAAAGCATATATAAATTCTTGAAGGAACTGTTTAATGTTTGCATTTTACATAGTTAAAGACTAGTCAGATACAAATCATCATTAAAGATGCCTTTTATGACAGGCTTGACTCATTTTTATCATAGCTGTTTTTAAGATAAACTTTTACTTCATCACTAAAAGTCATCAGCTGCATATAATATCCTTTAAAAGCAAGTGTTGTTGCTTCAGTTTATTTGAAATTAATCCTGAATGTATTTTACTTGCATCTCTGTTCCTTTATGCTTCATGAAAACAGAAGTGGCTTCCTGGGGTGAACGAGCTTATTGAAATTCGATTGTCTTTCAGAAGTGTTTTAACATGTCAGCCACTTAAAAGTTAGAGGTCAGCCATGGCTAGAGAGAGTCCTTTGTTGTCACAGCACAACCATGAAGACAGATATGTTGTTTACTTACACAGTTAAATCTCTGTATAGCACCTACCTGTTAAAAGGTCTGTATTTATCTTCACAATATTCTTATCAGGCTGAAACTATTTCTATTTCCAATGTTAAGGTTAAGAAAGTAAGACACAGAGAAGATAATGATAAATTAGTGTGACCAAATATAGAGATCTGCAAGATATAGCTAGTTTATCCTTGTTTTATGTTCAAGGAAGAAAAATAGATGCTTTTAGTGATTCATCCGGCTTGTTGTGGAGATATGTTTTATAACAGAATAAATCATGCTCCAGAATTGCTTCCTTCTACCCCTTCATTAGTTGTAAGGGAAATGGAGCTCTGCCTTACAGATCTTTGCATTTAGCTGGACCTCTACCCCCTAGAAATACTGTCTGTGAGTTATGAAGAGAAGTGAGGATGAAACAAGTAACTTGCTGTAAATGTCTGCACCGTACATGCATGTCTGCATGTTTCAAGCTAGGTAAGATGAATCCTGGCTAAGATGAGAAGGAAACTCTGCAGAACAAATCTGACCTGAACATTAGCACCTTAGATTTGCATCTGATCTTTGAAACTTTCTTCTTCATTGCACAAAATGAATCCTGTGTTTATGTTGATAATCTTCAAATACTTTTATGTAAATAGGAGGATAGCCTTATCAAGCAGTTACAGTGTGCTATGCAGCTTCTCAGAAATTGCCTCTTTCAAAATGAAGAATGCAAAGTAAGTATTATTTCATTACCTCACCGCATTAGTGAATAAAGATGATAGATTTATTTTATTTTGAAAATATTTTCAAGTTGACTAGATTTAAACTTGGTACTAAGGGCAAGAAATGGTTCGAATTTCATTATTATTTCTGCCCTAGGAATATTTTATGCATTCGTTAGATAACTGAGGTTGATAATGAAACATTGTGTCCCAAAGATTGCAGATGGCAGTCATCCTTTATACCTGTTTCTGCTTGGTTAAAAATCAATCAGTCCAATTTTCTAAGTAGATAACATGAAAAATGGATTTGAAGAAAGGTGTAGAGCTGTGAGAAAGGAGAATCAAAAAGCATGTAAGACCTTTTTTTTTTTTTTTTTTTTTTTAAAAAAAAAAAAAAAAAAAAGGAAAAAAAAAATTTTTTTTTTTTCCTTATACCTTTCTATTTTTTCAGTTTTCCTTTCTGAAGGAAAAAAAAGCCTTGAATATTAATTTGGTATTTACTTGTCATACAGTCTCAGTTAAAATCGTAAAATAATAGTGCATTTTAGACTGATCCTACAGAATGTGATTCCGTTTTGATTTTTCATCATTTTTCTTGCTCAGAATCATAATCATACTTTTTTTTTCATGAATCATCGTTTCTATGTGCTTATCAGTTTTTCTATTTCAATTCTTATCCCTATTTATTTTTTATGTGACTTCATTCAGCAACAGTAAGGAGTAACTTTGTTAATGACACGGTTATTTTCGGGTCATTCTTTCATAAGTTTGCATTGTGATGCAAGTTCTGCTGCTTTTAAGAGGTCTTGGTGGGTTTTGCTGGAACATTTCCAGACCTCTCAGGAATACTACCATTGAGGGGATGTGTTAAAGACTATTTTTGTGTGTACGTTATGGGTCCAAATAAGCTATTTGCTTATTCCTAAGGTTCCTGTATATCAGTGTTTTGGTCGCATCACTGCAACCTCTCCTTTGTAGAACCCAGAGTTCTGCTTCACTAGCAGTGAGGCAGAAACTAGATGAGATTATAGTTGAGCATTTTTTTTTCTTAATTTTCTTTTGCAAGGCTCTACAGAGACAGCTGTTAGAAGGAAAGAGGGTTGCAGTTGATAAGTGTCTTGCTTTTTTTGCTCTCTAGAGCTTTCCTAGGTTATTCTCCTACGTCTCTGCTTTTTGAGTTCTAATAATTAGCATAATTAAGTAAAATAAAATTGTAGTCTGGGAAACTCTTGCATAATCACAGTTGGAATGAATAAATCTTCATTTTGATTTGTACATCTCACAATAATAAAAACATTTTAGAGTAGTCCCAGGATACCATTAGTGTGGTTTTCCAGTACTTCCTAGCAAGTAATGTTCATTAACTATGTATTACAAAGCTGAAGTGAAATAAAATATCAATATATACATGAGAAAAATATCAGGACATACACGAGAAGCTTCTTCCAAAACATTCTAATGTCAAGATATATATGGCAAAGTGTTGGTATACATATAACTGAGTGTAATTTTAAGGTATTCATTGAAAATAATTCAATTACAATATTTAAGATTGAAGATTGATTTTTAATCAATTGTCATTTGGAATTTGCCTCACTGCTCAAATGAGGATGTTGCTTCCCTCCGTAAAACTATTTAAAAGAACTAATGGGACAAAATATGGAAATAAGATAAAAATATGCTTCCCCACTTTATTAAAAAGACCTTCATATTAAAGTAAATGCTATATATTTTTCTAAAATAAGAAAGTCTTTTCGAAATATTAAATTGTGTTCTCTAAATTGTTCCTCGTGTTCATGCAGCTGGCAGCACACAGAGCTCACCTTGTTCCTGTTCTGCATTCGCTATGGCCATGGTTTTTACTAGATGACTCCTCGATGCAAATAGCTCTGCATTTGCTTTGTGTCTACACTGCAGACTATCCTGCAGGTATGATGGTCACTTCATGATACTATCCAAAAATATATTTAACTAGAATAATGAGGATAGAAATAGTATAATAATGGAAAAAAAATGTTTATTATTACCATAAGAGCAAAGGATAAAAGCACTGGTCCATCACAGTCTGAGAGTTTCGAGTTTAGTATGTTCAGGACTTCTCAGCTCCTCTTTCAGAGTTTAAGTAGATGAATTTGGTTTAGCAAGGATAGAATTATATTAAAGGATTAAATAGTATTTAATATGAACCATGTCTAAAGGTTATGCTGAAAGTCCTGCCAAACTGAGCAGTATACTGCAAAGATACTACTCCCAGGAGTTATATCAGAGAGAACATATATCAGTGCTGTACACGTTAGCCCTTATTAATAAAATTCTGTCTTTAACACATTCAATCTAGTTTAATTCCTTATTAAAATTCACACAACTATTGGACTCAGTAACTTAAGTTTGACTATGGCAGTTTTTTGTTAGCATTCTCTTCTGATTAGAGTAAATCCTTTATTTCTTTTGATTATTTTGTTTGATGAGTAATCCCAACTGTTAAAAACTGTACCTTTTTCTAATATGAATTTTCTTCATTTTGTATTCTGGTTATTGATTCAGATTTTGATTCTACAGTAGCTTGAAGAGATCTGTTGATTTCTCCTTGTCAAGCTCCTCTTGAGTTCTCAAGAGGTAGCATAGTTAAAATACGTTAGCTGAAGACTCTATGAGCTTTTTTACCGTCTTTTAAAGTTAATTTCTCCAGGCCCTATAACTGCTTGTGATGCTGTTTTTCATGAGCAACAAATTCTTTAATTTGGACTGAGGAAATGGTTGGTGGTTGACTAATGTGTTATGTTGGGAATCGGGCCTAAATTTCTGATGGTCTTTCTTACTCCTCAGTTGTATGACTCTAGACTGCATTTTTATTTTTCCTTGCTAGTAAGGGAATGTGGTCTTAAATTAAAGCTTAGAGATTTCTTTTCTGGGCCAGTTTCATAGTGTCACTTCAGATTCTCATGCCAAGTAAGTGTGTAGTATCTTAAATGCAATGTTCCAATTTCTAACAAAATATTCTGAAATAATGCAGCAGCTTCTCTTTAAAAGTAAAATATGTTCTTAGGTTTTAGAACAATAAACTCCCATGCCTGTAAACTGTCACCTTCATGTCACTTTCTGCTGAAAGCCCATTTTATTGCTTCACTGTGGTTCGAAGTATATAAATATATATATATATATATATATTTAAATAAGCTCAGTCTTAAACCCTGTGATAAGGGTTTCATTTTTCTTTAAGGTTGTAGTTCACTTTCTTTGTCAAGTGTTGGACAAGCACAGCTTGCATCTGTTCGAAGTGGAGCTGGCAATTCATTAATGCATAACATCATGAAATTGGCTACTCCCATATCAAGTGATACCAGCCCTATTCTGCTGATGGTCTTTGGTCTTCTTTCTAACCTTGCCTTGTCACATGACTGTAAAGGTGTTATTCAGAAGGTAAGCAAACAATATTCTTTAGCACTGTGATATTAGCACTACGATGGGTGCAACTTCCTTTTTTTAATAAATGCTTGATTTCAGTATGGGTCTTGGGATCACAGAAATCCTTCTGCAGGAAGGAAAACCCTTGGGACTTCTGAGTTGTGTTACTCTTCAAGTGCAGCATGTAATTCGGTCATATTCGTAATAGTGGAGGCAGAAATTTCATGTGGAACTACACTATATTTTAATAGATTTTTTTTTATAATCTTTTAATTTAATTTCTTTGGGCTGCAGATTTTTTAATATCCACACATATTATTGGATTATGAAAGTGAGAAAACAGTAGTATAATTGCATGTAAGTAAATGAGAAATTAAAATTTGGATAAATAGATAAACTTTGTGAAGCATAAATCTCGATTAAAAAGTAGTTTTTAGAGAAGTCGTATATGTCAGTAATTGGGTATTAAGTAGAAATCAGTTTTTATTATGTACCCATAAGTATTGTCTTTTTCCTTTTTAAATCATACATTGAAGGAATCCTTACGCTGTTTTATCAAATGTTTCTAGAAAGATCTATTTTTTTTTCCTCTTGTTTTGTTCCTTTTGATTTTACTTTGATCATCTAATTAAATTCAGCACATAGAGACAGAATCAGACTGTGTAGAAGATTTAGCCTGGCTGTAGCCTGATAAAACTAGTTAACGTAACCACAGTTATGGAGAGTACTTATTTTAGCATCTTTTATACTATTTTAACAGTAGCAACAATTTTTTTCTGGAGTCCAGTTAGCTTATACAAAAGAGAGAAAATATAATCCTTTTATCACAGTACTTATGTTGAAATATGCATGGGCTGCTTCTGTTATTCTCAGAAAACTTTTTTTCTAGAAAAGATACCTGAAATGCTTCATTCTGTAGAAGATGGTTTATTAGATGAAATATTTTGCCTATAGTTTAGAGCTCCAGTCTAGTGTAATGCTACTCTTCTTCATTTTCTCTCCCAGACTCTGCTTGCATAAATCTAAGAATTATTAATTTATTTTGTTAGAATCAACTTTGCAGTGTTACACGTATGAACAAACTGTAGTGAGTTTGTCTACAGGGTTGTTTGTTGTTTGCTTTGGTGGTTACGTGTCAACATGCAGAACTGTGTCAGGTCTGTGAGGATATTTAGTCAGGGACTTTTTTTTTTCTTGTAGCAGAAATGTTGTTGTTCACCACATAGCCCTCTTGCAACAGTGGAATAGAATTTCACCTGTCCTGAATCTCCTTAAAGTGGAAATTGTATGAGATTAGGAATAATAATGTGTGAGATGTTCAAGCTTTGTTGTTGTTGTTGTATCAAAGTTTAGAAAAATGAGGAGCTCTACTATGCCTAACCAAGAAAGGGGCATGCTATACCTTTAAGAGTTGCTAATAACCAAATAATAATTAATGAATCAACTACAGTAACTACTATATACAACTTATTTTTGAGCTTCATGAATTTGCTTGTCAATTTATGTATCCATACTGTATAAGTTATTATTGAAGAAAAGTCTTATATGAAAATGCCTATTTAAACAAAATGTGGATCTCATTCATAAATAATTCTTTTAAATATTCTTCAATAATAATGGACATCTTGAAATATGCATAATAAAATATCGATATGTTTTTTGGTCAAGTCTACTGAATGGAAGTTCAAACTGCAATGGACAAAGCATACAATAATTCAGATATCACAGTCTCACATGTTTTTCTTCCTTCTGACAGAGTAACTTCCTGCAAAGCTTCCTTTCTCTGTCATTACCAAAAGGAAATCATAAAAATCTTAGTAATATGTGTGCTCTTTGGCTAAAACTGCTACTGAACATATCTTTGGAAGAAGATGGACAGCAGATGATTATGAAGATCAATGGGGCATTAGACCAGATTGTGGAGATGTGTAAATATAAGCACAAGAGTAATCGGCGTATAGCACTACTTGTTTTACATAATATGTGTTTTAGTCCAGCTAATAAACCCAAGATATTAGCTAATGGTAAGTATCTGAAAATTATTGAAACTAAACTCTGAGAATGTCAAAAATACATATTTTCATTGCAAGTTGGGTTACCCATCAAAAATTCAGTACTGTTATTTAGAAAATGTTTTTATAAAAATAATTTTCATTATCAACATAGAAGTGATTATAGAAATTATATTTTTGCAGAAATATAAGAATATGTAGCAAAAAATAAAAGGCAAATGTATCAGATAACTAAAATATTTTCAGAATTTATTCCACGATTGATCATTTGAATAGATAATGCAACATGGTTACAGGTATTTTTTTCGTTTTTTTTTAGAGGTAGATTTGAAGAATTCTTCTTTCCGCCATGATGAAATGAGCTAGCTTATAAATTTTAGTATTTTTACCGCCTAATTTCCTATTCTTCAGTGGAACAGAAGTTTGTTAGTTCCAACAGACTATAGGTTTAGTGGTGATTTCAGTGTATATGTGTAACCCTATTTCTGGGTTGTCTGGAAAAGCCATATTTATTTTCTTCATTTAATTGCAGAGAAGGCTTTTCTTCTTTAAGTTCTAACTAGGTCTTCTGTAGTGTCCTCTTATTTTTTTTTCCATGATGATTCACTGCATTAACTAAGCACACATTATTCATTTATATCATCTGCTGAATTTTGTGAAGTGAACAAGCAGGCTTGAACAAGTAGAACAGTGAATCTAGGAAATTAAGGAACTTCAGGTGGGGTGGCAAATTTCTCATTACTTACAAATCACCTACCTAGTAATTACTAAGTGAAAAAAAAGAACATTTATTTTTTTTTATCCCAGTGTGGCTGTAATTGTGGTTACTGGGAATTGTAAAGCAGTTTTCATGAAAATGACTTACGTGTTTATTCATAGGTAACAGCTATACATGCATGCACATGTTTTATTATTAATGGCTAATTTTTTTCAGAAATTATTATTTTGCTTCTACTTGCTAACATTTAAGTACAATGAAGTTGGCAAATTTTTGGACGTATTTAGTTAATCTGATAATTTCTGCAATTGCTGTACCATCCCACTATCTGTCATAGATATAAGCATGCTCTAATCATAAAAAATACAAGTGTAAATATTTGTGTTTATGTCTGATGTTTCTTGCTAGGCGATTTTTTTTTTTATTATTCTTTTTTTCTCATTAGATAAAGCTATCAGCGTGCTATCTGCCTGTTTGGAAAGTGATAGTATTGATGTTCAGAGAATCGGTGCAGCCTCACTTTGGGCTTTGCTTCACAACTATCAGAAGGTTAGTATTTGCTAAACACTTGTTGCTTAAGAAAAAATAGTGCATTTGAAGGTAAAAAATATCATATTACTTTTATTATCCTATAAAGAATAGAATAATCTTTAAATAAATAAAAATCAAGTTTACAGAAGCAGTTCCAGTTTTTAATTGTAATAATGTGCTAAGGTCATCATGTTATACAACATGAAAACTTAGCAGCTTGATGTGGTTTGTGATTTTTCACCTAAGTGTAATGTGTAAGATGACATGTTAATTCTGAAATTCCTGGATATCATACTCTACTCTTGTTACTGTCATTTTATAAGTATAAGTAGCTAAGTAGATGTCTTCATTATTCAAGTGTCAAATGTGGGGAAAAATTAAAATCACTTTATTTTTGTTTGTGTGTAACAGGCAAAAGTGACTTTGAAGAATCCATCTCTAAGAAGGAGAATAGATGAAGCTTATTCTTCAGTAAAGAAAGGTAAGTATTGAACAAAACATTTTCCATCTAGAACAACTGGGCCAGTCTGTAAAACTTCTATTCAATAGACCATTAGACATTCTAAGTTACAGTATCATAGTCAAAAACTTAAGTTTTGAGAGCTTATTTCTATCCCTAAAATAACAAATAGTGGTTTATATTTGGGCATCTTTTAAATACAGTTATGCAAAAATATCTCTAGGTTAATAAACTGTAAATAGGAGCTGGGCAGTTGTCTACAGTGAGTTTTAAAGAAATGTTGTTCAGACATTTGTCCGTAACTTCAGTCTACTGTAGCAGTAGATGCAGTTAAGCAGTAGTTAGAGTTAAGACTCTGATTTTGCAAATGTTTCATTTTAATTTCATTTCTCATTTAATGATTTCATTTGCTGTATTTTGTACTTAGATAGGTTTACTCATGCAGGAATTTCAAATTTTGTACCAGGACAGAATTGCCATAAAATTTCTATTGAAAATTGGCAGTGTCCTAATAAGAAGGAGGTCTATTTTTCCTAGCACAGCTCGTGGTAGTTCTTCCTATGCTATGAAACTCTCATCCCTTCATTTTATCCCTCTTCTTTTGTTCCAAATTCATCGTTTTCTAAATTAACCATCAATCATAATATTATGCAACATTTTAGTTACTCAGACTGATAAAGAATAATACAGATATATCTGTTACGGTATAGTATTTGTGGTATATGTATCAAACCACAAATCAGTAAGGTAGAAATTTACAGTTTTTACAGACTAGCACTTCTTAAACATTGTTCTCTGTTCATTTTTGTACTGCTTTAGAACATAAGATCTTCGACTGAAACATTCATTTTGAATTAAAAAAAATATTGGCTGTAAAACACTTTGTGGAACTGTAATCATAACTATTTAGCCATGCATTAAGTTTCCGAACTTGCCTAGCGTAATAAAGCTTTGAACACTTTACAGTGATGTCTGGGTTAATGACCAAAAGAATCAATTGTTCATCACAAGTGGAGGAATTTTTCAACACACCTTTTTGTTTGTTTTGCTTTGTTTCCAAATTTGTCCTTCACATGGAAAAAGAAAGGACCATAGAAACGAATATTTTGGCAACTCTGTTGTATTATAGCATAATGAAAAGAGAGTTTTTATTTCTTTGTCTCAGCTGAGTGAAGGCTTAGAGAGTCACTTAATGCTGTCAGGTTTATTAAAAGCACATCTTGCAAAATAAAGTATTAGTTCATTCACTACTAATATCTCAGATAAGATTAGAAAATAGCCTGAATCCTAACCAGGCATTTGATATAATCTTTGGAAAGAAAAAAAAAAATCATTTTATGTTAAGAATCAACTAGAAGCTTAACTTTGTATTTGTCCGTTTTTTTTTTTTTCTTCTCCTTAGCTACTCCACAGCCAGAAGAAAATGAGCTAAATGCATACCACCTGAAATGCTTAGAAAATGTAGTGCAGCTTCTTGATTCTTAAGGATTGTCAAATGACTTCACATCTCGAAACTGGTAGCTTGCTCAAGAGGAGACTGTAAAGAAAAGAGCTTCTAATCCTTGGATTTATGGCAGCAACATGCTGTGGAAGATATTTATGAAGTTTTTGGGGAAGGAGTTGATCACTGAACCAAAGAATTGCACTAAATATGACTGAAACTATTTATATTGTAATCCCAATGGGAATTTATAATGATGGTACTATGTGTAGTACTTACATAGGAGAAAGAATATACAGCGGAAACAGATGAGAAAAATCAGTAATTTTCTTAATTTATGTATTATAATGTCACTGGAAAGTAGCAGAATTGTTGGTTTTGATCAGTTTTAATAAAGTTTTTTTTTTTTTTTAGTTCTGTTTAGAATTTGTTATTTGTGGTTTGTAATTTCTAATGTCACAAGTGAACACATAGGAAATAGATTTTAGAACTGAAAGTGTTCACAGGTAAATCATAGTGTGTTGAATGTCTTAGATATAGAACAGAAACATGTGTTTTTTATTTTGAGGAATTTTCTTTTTTCTTGAGGAATTTTCAGTTGCCTTATTTTATCTCTTTAAATATGACCATGTGAAAAAGAACTCCCACTAACTGATACTACAGGTGACAGCTTTGTTAATATAACAGTTTCTAAATAATATGAGGTATGTGCATCTCTCTTTACTTAAAATAATGTAGTTTTTTTTGACAATCTGTTGACTCCCATTTCATGAATACTTACAAAAAGAAAATGTTTTTCCCTTGACGGGGGGGAAAAAAGCAGAAGGTTACCTAGGTCTGTGTCCTTTAAATTGCTACTATGCATTCTGTACAAAATAAGTTTAGGAAGGAGATACATGCCAGAAATGCATGTCAGTCAAAATTTGCTGCTCTGAAGTATCTTAGAGAGTACTTACAGATTTCTCTCAAAGCTCGTAGCTATGACTGCCATCAGCAACAGGTAAAATGAGCAAATAGAAAGTAAATGTTGGGTAACATCTGTAAAAACACTTGTAGCAAGGTCATGTTTACCTAACCAGATAATGAAAACACTCTCAGCAGACAATATGTTACTTGATATTACTTAATAGACACAACCATGATACTTGTAATGACTGGATTAGATCACTACCAGAAATGTGACTCTGGATGAACTAGCACAACCCCTCGGAAAGCACAGAGCCAAGGGGAGACCACCCAAGCCTCATTCTTTTTCACCTGATGCTTTGCATAATCATTCTAACTTGCAAAGGAATTTGAAGTACAGTTATGCCTATCTCACAGTTTTGCAGAAGCTTAGGCAGGCAGGGATCCCAGTACTCACACGTAGACAGGTAGCTCTGGAAGTCAACGTTCTAGGTCCAGTTTATGAAGTGGGGCCCTGTTTTTCTTGGGAGCAACTGTTGTCCCCTTTCAGGCTCTCACATACTTACTCTTGCTCCTGGTGACTTCTCTCCTAAGTCAGGTCGTAAGTCAGCAGGCAGATTGGCAGTTGGTTTCTCAGAGATGCAAAAAATGGGACAACCGAATCCTGCTAAATAATAATCTTGTTATTTTTATTGAAGTGAATTTGGCATTAGGAAAGAACTCTTTCAAAGTACAGAAATCCACATGGATCTAGTGACATGAAAGAGGGTGGCATTAAATCTGTTTTTCTATCTGATTCATATGAAATGTTTTTAGAGAGCCATAATGTTTGAAATCTCTAGCCTTGAAAGGGCACAAGAAAACTGTGTCCTCAGGAAATAAGAGCTGTGTTAAGTTGCAGAGCATGAATGAAGAGGTGTCTGAAGACTCGTAACCTGGGTGGCAAACTGATCTCCATCTCATAACTATTTAAACTTGCGCAGACAAGAGTTGGCTTGATTAAGGTAGTGTCTCTTTATAGCACACTGGATATTGATTTATCTGTTTTCTTCTGAATATCTGTAAGCAAATTATAGATAAATGGCTTTATTAAATGCAAATACAATGGAGTAAGAACATAGAAGAACTACATGCCCATTTTGTATTGAACACTTCTAGCTATACATATTCTTTATGAAATTACTCATATGGAAAAATCCAAATGAATTGCTACTACATTTGTTGTTATGATAGGTCTTACTCGTGTGAGTGGTGTGTTTATGCCCAAATGACCATGCAAATACCTTCTATTTTCTCAGTGTTTTGCAACGTTTTGCAATTGTGGAAGGCAAGCTTCTGCCCTTCTATCAGTGGTATTAGTAAGTACTTAAATTTGATGCTGCTGCTTAGGAAAATATATCCTCGGAGGGTATGGACCTCAAATTGCTATTTGCTTTCAGTGAAGAGCCTTCATAGAAATTCAGAATTTTCAGTTTTGTTGTTGAAACTTTCCTCCTTCGAGATTAAGGAAAACAGAAATTAATCATCAAAGGTGAGTTTGAAGGACAGCACATTTTTCATCATTTTTATCCCCTAAGCTGGGTGTCTTGTTTCCCAGCATAAGCAGATGATCTGGGGTGATGAGGAGGGTTATGAGGACACGTGACCCTATCATTTTTGTTCAGGGATACTGGATGATTTTAGTTATGCTCACGGTTGCCTAAAGTCTTTATAGTTTTCATGAAAGAATTTTGCCTGGAAGCCTAGGTGGGGAGCAGAGCTGACCTGAGCTCACACAGTCACTGAGATACCGTGTCCCTGCCCACGTGCTCCAGGTGTCCCTGCTAGCACACGGGGTTGGACTAGATGATCTCTAGAGGTCCCTGCCAACCTCAACCCTTCTGTGATTCTGTGTGGTTCTGTGAAATCTTGAAACTCATTAACAGTTGAGCAATCTTTCAGGATTTTGGCCGTGCATCTGTTTCTAGGGATGTGTCATTTGAAATACTTAAGTTTTAAAGAAACTTGAATTCTAAAATACCTTCAGATTTTTAAAAACTGTAACAAAAGCTGTAATTACTCCTCGTGCACAGGAAAGCACAATTAAAGTGGAAGGGGATATTGCTGGAAGACACTAACGAGCTTGGGCTGAAAAGTAATTGAAAGCATGCATCTCATTTCTTCACTGAGAGGCTTTACTGTGCAAGATAGGAGTCTTGTGAAAATCCTTGTCCAGGAGAATACGCTCAGTTGTCCCAATGTAGATATACCATGCTCTTCCTTAGTTACAGTTTGTAATTAAGTGGGAAGTTATTTTAAGTGCAGAAGAGATACATATGTAAACTTGGAAATATTTTTTTTTCAGGGCTGGTGTGTCATATCCTGAATATTTACAGCTTCCAAAGAGGCTACTGAGTTTCTTAGATATACTTGGTTTCCTTTTGATCATTTTTTTTTTACTCCTAAAAGGCACTAAAACACTTTTCTGAAAGATGTGAAGTTTCCTCCTCCTTTCCTTTAAGGAGTCTGGTGATACTCTACTACCCACCTGATCATAAAAAGGGGTCCCTTCAAATCTTTCCCTCAGGTGGTATCTTGGAGTCATCTCGTGAAGCCAACACCAGTGCCACAGTGGTCATGCTAAAGACTTTGGAAGAAAGAAACAGGTGTAGCAAATAACTACTTAATTCCTAAACCCTTTAAGAGTGCCTTTTTTGACTCCTAGGCTGCCCTCTGGAAGACGCACTTTACTTATTACCTCTTCCTCAGTCTTCTTGGAGATTACCTGACATCTTTCAGCAATTAATTAATGGAAGACACTTGAGCAAAATCCAGGATTTGGCACATAGAGGCTGCTGCTGTTCCCCATCCCTAGTCACAGTTTGGGAGCCCCTTGGCACTGTTTCTGGGATTGGGAAGAGTTTGGCACTCCAGACCAGGGTCATCCTCTGGCCCCAGCACCCCTTGGGCATGGGTGCATCTTGTCTGGATCGCTGGAGCCTTGGGCTCTGCACGTGAACAGCAGTGGTTTTGCAGGCAAGTTTGACACTGGGCTAGGGGTCCCCCTACTTGGAGCCCTCGCTCATGTACCACAACCTTCTCAGGAAACAAAACCCTCGGGTGTGAAAACCAGGCCTGCTTTCAGTGGAAGATTCTTACTGCAGCTGCTCGCTTGTATTTTTAAATACATTTTTAGTGACTTCAGCACTGGTGTTTTCCGACTTGTATTCTGTTCTTTCCCTCCATTTTATTTTATTGACATATTTTTATTGACCTTAGATATCTGATATTTCTTGGGGCCTAAAAATGTAACACTTTCTGGCCAGTGATTTTTTCCAATATTTGAATGTGATTTGGCCTTTCTAATACTTCTTAATAATGTATCCAGTTTTGTTAGTGTTTTAGATAGTCAAACTAATCTGAAATATGGTACTGAAATTTTCAGTCATAAAATCAAGCAAATTTCAACAGTTTGTTGTTTTATTGACAGGAATAAGAATTATCTTTTTTTTTTTTTTTCTTTCTAAGCATCATCATTTGTTCCTCCTACACATCATAAACATCCACAACACCATAAAATCATGTAGATGCTGATCTTGAAATTGCAGCTGTTAACAGTAATTCATGCTATTTTCAAGAAACTTGAAAGTGTCTGTTGGTCTGTGGTTTTACAAAGTGGAGGTGCTACATACAAGCCTCTCTCTTTTTTTTTATTTCTAGCTTGTCAGATATGCCCTGCAACTTACAGAAGGTACTTTTATCTGCAAAAAGCTGAAAACTTTGATAATTTTGCTCTCTTCTCTTGAAAAGCAGTGCAAGAAATAATCGCAGTAAGTAGTTTGGGTAGACATCTACCAAAAGCGGTGTTCGTAATACATGAAGACACAGAGCTGAACCTAATTTCGTAGTGTCAGGTGTCAGCGCATTCACCTACATCTTCCTTTTAAAAGGACGCAGCGGACAGAGACTTGATTCACTTTGTTTAGAAGAGAGAAGCTCTGGTTAAATGTAGTTGCTAATTTTATTATGACCAGGTAAATTGCAAACAGGTTCTTATTTGTTCACTGGCTATCTCTGAAAATGAGGGAAAAGCGGATTTAGGTGTGTCCTAGATATTCTTGGCTACTTTGCTAAGAGGCATGTATTGAAGTTAGGGTTTTTCTTGTTGATTTGTCAACTGTTTTAGTGCAATATTAGTTCCGACAGAC